GAGAGTCAGTTTTAAGATTTTAATATCACTTTAATACACTTTGTGTTTCTAGAGCATTTTTTCCTAACTAAACCATTATACTTCTAACTTTTTTCATTAGTCTTAGTTTAATTATGTGTAACTTTAGTTACTCTTTTTTTAACTATAACTTAATCCATGCAATTATTCTAAAGCTCAATCTTCTCCACATCCAACGTCCTCATCTTCCAAGAACCACCGTAAGAAGAGGACCATAAACCAACCCAAAACCATATAACTAATTTTTTTAAACTTGCAAAATAAAATTTTTTTTTGGGTCTTCAGTTCTAATCCGTTAATAACTCAATTTTCTTCGCATCCACCTTCCTCCTCCTATAAGAAATATGTAAGAAGAAGACCATAAATCAATCAGGAACCAAATAACTAATTTCTCCAAACTTGAAAATTAAAACTCTTTTTGAGGTCTTGAGTTCTAATCCGTTAATCTGCATAAGATTTGTAAGTTTTGAAGGTAAAAACACAGAAATAATGAAGATTAGATGATAAAAATTAATGGTGGCTTTGATAGAAAACGCAGAAAATTCTAATATAAAGAAGATGAAATTATTACAAAATTGCCACTAATTAATGACGTGTCTGTGTACATAATGTTAGTGTACACGAGTACAATGAGTGTGACGTGTACATAATTCAGATGATGTGGAAGTGTACATAAATTGTGTATGTATTTTTGTTCGTGTACACAAATAAAGTGAACAACCTTCATACGTTTTGTCAAAATACATCTACATATACAATGATTCATATGTACACAAAGTTAACTTGTACAAGAATACATAAACGCTATACATTATTTTTCCAACAAAAGGAATGTATCTTTTTCCCACTTTGATTTTTTTGTTGCTTGAATCCAAACAAATCATTGATGCACACAAATCCATCTACAAAAAAAGTTATGATATTTAATGATTGTATAAAAAATCACATGTACACTATTTCTTTTATAAAATCACATTTACACTAGTTCACATCATCAATGAAAAATGTCTTCAGTAATATGGATGATAGTCTCAATTGTACACCAAAACAACATGTACACATATTTGGTGTACATTATCAATAAGTATATACACGGATTTGGTATACATCATCAGTAGAAAATCACATGTACACTAGTTTTTTTGTACACCACACAGCTAATGATTCTTATAAGAATCACATGAACATTAGATGGTACACACGTGTCCATCAAAGATAAAATTATTATTATTTTGTGTACAATTTAGTTGTGTACGTTATGTATCGCATAACGATTCACATGTACACAAAGCATTGATGCACACAAATCCATCTAAAAAAAGTTATGATATCTAATGCTTTTATAAAAAATCACATGTACACTAGTTATTTTATAAAATCACATTTACACTAGTTCCCATGTATTCTAGCTATTTTATAAAAATCACATGTCCACATATACTATGTTTTATAGAAACATATACACCAGTTCTTTTGTACACCGCACAAGTTATGATTTTTTAAAAAATCACATGAACACTAGAGATGCACACATGTACACAATTTCACATGTGTACAAAGATTATATGTGTACATTTTCACCACCATCAGTAAGAACAGATGGCTATGCATGTTAAGTACATATAATATAAGAAGATTTAAATGATTGATTTGAATGTACATACGTATATCTATAACATGGATACCATTTTAGTTATAGTCTCATTTGTACACCAACAAAATATGTACACAGAATTATTAAATATCATCAGTAAGAACAGATGGTTATGCATGTTAAGTACGTACAATATAAGTAAGTTTAAACGATTGGTGTGAATGTATACATTTACATATATAACATGGACATAATTTTTAAAAACATCATCAATGAAAAATGTCTTCAGTAATATGGTTGATAGTCTCAACTGTACACCAAAACAATATGTACACATATTTGGTGTACATTATCAATAAGTATATACACGGATTTGGTATACATCATCAGTAGAAAATCACATGTACACTAGTTTTTTTGTACACGGCACAACTAATGATTCTTATAAAAATCACATGAACATTAGATGGTACATCAAAGATAAAATTATTATTATTTTCTGTACAGTTTAGTTGTGTACGTTATGTATCGCGTACACGTGTATACCATAACCGTGTGTACACTTTTTAATATTAATTCATTAATGACATTATCGTAATTATTTCATCTTCTTCATCAACTCCTTAGGGTTACAATTTTTGTAGGAAATTTGGGGGGGGGGGTTTCAGCCTCTTAGTTTACTCCTAATCTTAAAACTGACTCTCAATGTAAAATACTCCTAAAAATTGTAATTATGGAAAATTTAAGTTTTGTAGACCAAAGCGACACATAGAAACCTAGAGAAAATAAAATTAAAAAGTAGATAAAAACTATCGCAGAGGATATGATAGTTGAGCTACTGTATAATCACAATTATTAGGTGAGGGTTAGAAAACTAACCTGATGAAAAGAGTCACTTAATTACTTCATTTGAGCGGATCTGTAAGCAAAAAATAGAAACAAGAAAGAAAATACACGTAAAGAGAGAATTAAAGAAGATGATATTTTACACTAATCTGGGCGTCAAATGGATTTGTAAACAAAGGGATCCAATGGTTGAGATAATACAAATATAAGTCTTGTCATATATTGAAGAAGTAATTTGAGTCATTAAAAGGGTAGAGAGATGAGTGGCCTGAAATTGTTCACGTGAGTATAGTTGAAAGTTAATGAGAGTACTTTAACTAAAAAGACTCAATTAAAGAAAAGTGTCTCAGTAGAAGAAAGTGACTTATCATGCAATAAAAAACTCTAGAGTGCTTTTGAGTGATATATTTTCGTCATAAAATAGTAACAATTTACTATAGAAACAGTTAGCTACAAAAATTATATGCTCACATTTTATATATTTAATAGTGTGATTGACATAGTAATAATGATTCATATAAAATTATCATACATAATTACTATACGATATGTAATTTATTTATTTCTAAACAATATAACGCTGTTTTTATTTATAATATAGAAATATATAGTATTTTATGTTTTTATTAAAAATAATGCATCATATTTAATGATATAGTTAGAAATATTTTAGTTAGAAATTTTATTTTTTAAATATCAATTTAGTTTTTAGATATACACATAATTTTGATATTATTAAAAATAAAATACATTAAATATAAATAATTATTTTTATTTTTTTATATATATTATATGCTAATGTTTTGTCAATCAAGGCCTGAAAGCATCTCTAATCCATATTTATATATATTCCTCTAAAACATAGATTTTTATTATAGAAGTGTATTTGTTCCTGACTTTATAATAGAATTTCTCTATTTTAAAGGAAAATGTAAATGAATATTATCTTTTGTCTCTATATCTAGCTATAAAATATTATTTATATTTCTTCTAAAGTTAAAAAGCTCAATTATAGAGACATGGATTGGAGTAAATTTACTTGTATATATATAAAGTTTTTTTTATTTTAGGAAAAAGATAGAAATGAAAATAGAATTAAGGTAGAGATACTCTAAGGCAAGTAATTAGTTCAATGCAGAAGAAGTGATTTAGAATTTTGAATAAACGAAAGGTCAAATAGAACGACCTAAAAGAGAGACGAAAGTGGAACAAAAAGACACGAAAGTGTCTCAAAGGTCCAAATCCAATTTGTTTCTGTCCTTCACAAAACTCCAACCCATTCACATGTTCGACCACATGAACACGACAACTTCTCTTCTGCAACTTTATATTTTCATTAGGCAGATAAAATATATATAAAATATTTTTTTTCTTAGTGGAAAATCTAATACACGTGAAAGCATTTGAAGAAAATATAAACTAGTGCTTTAAAGAACTTATTGAAGAACATAAACCATGGTTCTACAAGGCTTTATCCATCTGCAAAGAAATAAAGGAAAAGCTTTTGTTATCACCACGAGATAGAAAGATAACTTAAAGATTCATAAAAGAGTTTAGTGTGACTGCAACTATGGCAGCCAAGACGACACTGGCTTAAGTTTATTACAACTCTATTTTTATGAAATTCTACATGCTAAAAACCTTATTTACATAAGCTTTGGTTTGACTTCAATGGTTTGAATTTGTTCTCTAATATTCACCCGCAAACTTAGCATCAGGTGAAAACCAATATGCAAAGTTTGAACAAAAAAATGTCATGAATAGGTAACGTATGGCATAAGGATTTAGATAGAAGATGTTAAAGAAAAGAAAAAAAGATTTAGATAGATTTTTCATCTGTAGTGGAAATGTAAACAGTCATCTTCTGAAGAAAATGAGAGCTTAGGTTGATTTTTTTGAGATCTATCATTACATTTTTCAGAGGTAATCTTTATAATTAGAGAGTTTAGCAGTCCTTCGAAAATATATATTTTGACCATAATCTGTATGCATCCATCACTTAACAAATAAGAGTGTGCCCACAATCTAATAACACGGCCATCTGGATTTCTGTAACGTTTTTAAAATGTAGTACACGTTGTAGTCTATACAATAGTACTCAAGTCTAGATTTGAATTTCATTATTTATTTAAAAATGTCATGCTTTTATGAACATTATAGTGTTTTTATAAATATATATTCAATTTTCTATTTGGTATTATAGCTCAAACCACATGTCTAGAGGGAAAATCATAAAGGTCATGAGTTTAAGCACAATGAGAAGAGGAAGCTAACTTAACATGTTTTGAACTCTGGTTAAAAAAAATTATGAGCATATATGTCAACAATCTCTTGTTCTTCTTTAACAAAAACAAAATAAAGTGCTTTCTCTGTTATTTTTTCATTCGTTAAAAGATTTATTTTATTTATCTTGTTAATACATCATTAAAAACAATATTTGTATTTTCCCTACAATGTACACATAATTTGATCAAGATTTTTCATTTTACTACTTTTGATTTATATTCAAACTATTACTCAGAAATATAAATGCATGTATTACAAATTGTGTACAATAATTAATAAAAGAAGTTGAAAAGCTAAGCCAAGTTACAAAAAAAAAAAGAAGTTGAAAAGGGACCCTTTTGGGAAATAAAAAACTATGGTCAAAGACGACAACTTTGGTCCCAAATCTTTCTAATCTTTTGACCATTTCACATGTCCCATCTCCTATACCCAACTTTTAGTTGCAATTGGCAAATTCAAATTGCACTTAACCATGTCATACGTAAAAAAGTTGATTCAAAACTAACCCAAAACAACAATATTTTTTCTATCAAAAACAAATAAAGAACTAAAAGAAAGCAATATGATCGAGTTTTTAGTATAGTAGCTATATCTTCTGCAAAAGTTTTTTGATTACATGATTCAAAGTTTCAGTCATTTCAAACAGAAAAAAAATTAAAGAGCCCCTAATCTTATATCGTAAGCCTTTAAGACTTTTTTTTCAAGACGATTCCAAAATGAGATCAGCTACGGCAGCGCCCGCTAGATCAGCGGCGGAGAGAGAATGATTATGATCACCTTCGTATGTAACGATAAGCATGGCCGAATCATCGGCTGCTCGCTCCACATGTTTACGAGCTGGACAACCTCTTACGCTACTGCACTTGTAATATCCTCTGTTTTTGTCAAATCAAGAAAACAGAGTAACACATCAAGATTCATACAAAGTTTATATTTTGATATTTATTTTCAATTTAAGTTTAAGACCTTGGATGAGGAGATCCTTTGATTGGTTTTTGTCCGTATTTTCGCCATGAATAATCGTCTGGAGGAACATCGGAGAGTTTTGCACTTATCGCCGGAACCCTAGTTACTCTCTTTTGTTTTATCTTCCTGTAGTAGAGAGAAACAGTTTTTTTTGGTGAACAAGTAGAGAAACAGTTTATATATAGAATCTATGACAAGACCTTACTTTTGATTGCTGGGTCGTATACAAATCTAATAAAGATTCGAATCTAATGTAATAATATAATACCTTTTCTTGGGGCAATGACAACGACCGGAGGACGCAGATACGCATTTCCCGGCGACAATGTTCTCTGAGTTACATTTTCTCTTTGTTGATTTGGTAAAAGAAGAAACTGTTGTAGAGAGGCTTTGAGTCGCAAACGGCGTCGTTTCAGGACGGTGATGGTGGGTTTTGTGCTTTGACTCCGTCGTTACAGAGGAGAGAGAGGAGAAATCGATGGTTTTGATTGGTGAAACAAACGAAACTTTAGGGATATGCGGCGGAGCCTGAAACGGCGTCGGTTTACTTTCTTGAATTGCAGAAATAACCGGAGCGCGTCTAAACCGGGCGTGTCCGGTTCGAGTCCGTTCTAAGAGAGATATGACTCTTTTGAATTTCGAGACCGCCGCGTCCGCCGTCGTATTACGAGCTGATTCCAGATCGGCGGCGGTTATGGCGGCGGAGGAAGAAGAAGATGGTTGGCTGGAGTTAGAACTTTCACGAGACATTAAACCAATAAAATTCTCCATACTTTTGAGTCCTGAAGCTGCCGCTTCTTGAAGAGCGAAGCTATCGGCTCCGACGCCGGAGATGTAATTTCTAGTCATGAGCTCCACCGCCATAAAACCTCTCTCTAAAAAGAGGAATGGAGAGAGAGAGAGACGTGTGGACATTTTGGGGTTTGAAGGGACTAAGTAATAAGAGAAAAAGAGGTTTAGGTGACTGACTATTGTGTCACGGTAGACTTTTCCATGTTCATAATTAAAATGTTAAACAGAATGTGTTCAATCTTGTTGATAAGAGTCCATTTCTTTTTGTTTCCATATATACGAGTCAATATTTGTCAAATTAGGGTTTTATAATCACATGTCCTTTTTTTTGTTGGTAGCCGGATGAACTGATTTCAAAGAACATCTTCATTTGTACCTGTCTGATCTATATGAGAATCCGATGTTTTTCTTCTACTAACTTCTTAAATATAGAAAAGGAGTTATGTATAACATTTTTAACACAAAATTATATATAACTAATTTAGGATATACCAGACTATAGAAATATCTAACTAATTTTAATTGGAGGTGTAATTTATATATATATATATATATATATATTTCTCTTCAAATTAATATTCAAATGGAACTCCAATAAGGTCCAAAACATAGTTTCATATATGCGTAGCCAGATAAGTTTAGTGTTTATCAGGCTATTTTGAACCTAAATCGTTGATCTTCCCAAAATTTTATCTACCATTAAATCACTCTACAATCAATGGGAAGTGAAGTAAACATCAATTTATTTTTTCAGAAACCAATGGAAAACATCAAAGTAGGAGATTTTATTGATGTGGTACGTTTTGACAAGAAAAAAAAATAGAAAAGAATAGCAGCAAAGGCCACCGGAAAAACAAAGACGAATGAATTTTTTTGGTGTATATTCACTTTTGTTCTATCTTTTATGTGTTTGACAATAGTAGCAATGTGTTTAATTTTTAACACTGGTTTTATAAGGGAAAAATATTGTGAAATATTAGAACTAAATTTCTTGCTTTTTAAAAGTTCAACTATTTTTAACTCAAATAAATGTGATCCCTATATTCATTTGATAAACTTAATTGGAAATTAACACCAAATAAAAAAAATTATTCATAAATATCTATAATTTAGTTAAATATGATAAAAAAAAAAGTTTTGGAATATTTTTAGAATCTTTAAAAATTTAAAAGTTATAGGAAAAAAAATTCTGAAAAGTTATGTGTCTTCAAAGTTTTATTTCTTCGTATAAATGTCAAAATTGTTAAAGGATAACGATTATATATCCATCATCGTATACCTAGTAAAATATTTTTCATAACCTCAAAACATGATATCATTATCATTACTACACATTTCCTTATAACCTTAGATGTAGTGTGTTTATATTCTTTTCTACTTAAAATAGAGATATGCAAAGAGAAGAATGATAATCTCAACTTATTTTTTGTGTTACTTCTCTTACAACTTAAATATTTTATTCTTTCATGTTACTTTCTTTTGCAAGAAATAATATATACATATATACATATATAATATATACAAAGAGTTATAAATATATCTCACCTTATATAACAAAACATGTTACCGGCACGAGCGTTCTCATATCAATGAGGTGAGATTTAGTTTATGTTTTTAATAAAAAAATAATTTTTTTTTATTGTTCACGAGTGATTATTCGTATATTATTTAGGGATAATAGGCTCGGCCTTCCCAATTAATTGTTAAGATATGCACTGCATTCATCATCAAAACATCATGTGGTAAGCTATGTTTTATGAATAAAAAATAATTAATATAGTAGACTATGTCTCCTTGAATCATATGATACAAGCTGCATCTGATATTATTCAATTGATGTTCTTTAAATTTATGAATTTAAATTTTGTCAGTAGTTTATTACTTTAATTTATGCATTTAATTTTTTTTTTAATTTAAAGTATGCATTTAAATTCCGCCTTTATTATATTTTATTTTACTATTTTATGAATACAATTATAATGTAGAATTTGAGAAAATTCAAAATAACTTCCAATGGTATTACTGGAAATAATTAGATGACATAGATAGTAGGTGCAAAAATGCACCAAAGAGAAAAAAAAATCTTTTAGAAACCATCGATAAATCGAAAGATGTGTCAAACAAAAAAAAAACATGATTTCTTACAACACCATATACATGATGATTTAAAAGATGAATATATAACGAAAGAAGATCATCCAGATCTTCAAAAGAGAGGTTTTATCACCAAGAGTATGTGATCTTACCAAAACCCAAGTACAAGTGGAGCCATCTCAGGTTCTAGGACTACAAAGGTATTAGTGAATATAATTCCTCGATGTTCAGAATTACATTGAGGATGATGTTATTCTGAGAGAAGATAACTGATTTTGATATGCTAAAGATATTAAACTCTTTCCACTTTCCATCCTGAAAATGTAGTCTTCCAGAAACAAAGCATACCTCGCCAAGATTTTTCTCATACATACTAGAATTTGAGAAAAATCAAGAGCTGAACATCAAGTTTATCCGTTATGTGACAATCCAACTGATATGTTCACAAAGGCGCTTCATACTACAATAATTTCAAAACCCGTTCATAGTAGTATCAAGATATGTCAAGTGCATGTGATCTTTGAAGAAAAAGTTATATCCATCACTATCAAGGGGAGTCAATGTACTCTTTTTCCATTGCCATGATTTTTATTTCATCTAGTTTTTATATGATAGAAATTTTAGCGAATTGATATGTATTACAAAATAAAATAATCAAGGGAAAATGTTAAAGGATAAATGATCATCCTACACTTAATGAAACACCTTTTATAGCCTCAGTGTAATATCATTTTCATCACTAGACATATTCTTATAACCTAAGATATAAAGATGTGTGTCAATAGTCTTTCCTACTATAAATACAGATGTGAGTTAGAAGAATAATAATATCAACTCATTTCTTTGTGTTACTTCTCTTACAAAAAAAATATTTTATTAATTTATGTTATATCTTTAGCAAGTAATAGTACATATATATAATAAATACAAGAAAATTGCTGATATTATACTTTGGTTAACACTTTTTAAAAATAGATTCAACAAAAAACTCCCTTAACATTGAGGTGTAAAATTTAATAATTATTGTTTAGGTCAGATATTTAGGAGGTGGGGTTGGATTTATAAAATTTTATGATTATTTTATAAATGATTCTTAAACATTTATAAATAATTTAGCAGGATCTGTATTTCACAAAATAAAGGTATTTATAAAATAATTTTCTTTTAAAAATAAACTTGAAAAATA